GACCTCGATTAAGACACCGGCTCCTGGCCGCGAAAAGCTAGACAAAAAACAGCCAAATGTGAAATAAAAAATTAATAATTGGCATGCTCTGCCAAAGTGTTTCGGCTGTTTGGTATAACATGCCATTGTAGTACTGACATCCCTGCTTCTTTCCTTGGTGTTCGTGTGTTCAAATCTAAATGTAAAGTTAGTTAGAATAAATATTTAATGAAATACTTTCCCGATTATTTTAGTGGTTGAATATGCATACAACTTGAATTCAGGATTTGTTTTCATTCACAACTCAGAGTTGCCGCCTCCAGTGCCAGTAAGATTCTTGTGACTTGTGTGAGTGTGATATCTCCAGGCCCTATCTGGTCCCATCTCACTTTGATTACCCTGTCAAACAAGTCAGCCTTCGCCCCTGGTATTCATTACACATAAGACATGTCAACAAAATCCAAATATATGGTCGCCGTATCCATGGAAACAAAACTTTTTTTCTCAAATTTGACTGCGGATTTTTAGACTCCTTAAAATTGTATCATGCTAGTTATATAAATGTGTGAAATATGGTAAAATTTGGTCAGCTAATAAGCGAGATATAGCCTTCGGGTGTACGCCCCCCCCCCCCCCCTCCCTTTAAGTTATCGTTTTATCAAAATGGCCAGTGGTACTTAACAAATACTTTAGGCATTGTAAACTAAAATTGTATTTTTACAATTCAGCCATCATTACGGCTAACCTGCCAGTCTCGCCGTCCTTAGGGCTAGCCTAGCCTGCTAGTCTAGCTGTACTTATTTTAAGCCCTATTTAGAAACCTGTTGAGTACACAGGCACCGTCTCATTAAAAAATAGTAATAAATTAAGACACCTTTTGTTACGCCTCAAATAATAATACTGTTTTGTTTGGGGTTTTTTACTCATGCACCCGTCTCATGCACACATTTTATACACGTATACGTTTTTTCTAGTAGTATGTTGCATGCTGAACACGAACAGGGCCTTATTCATTTTTACAAATCAATAGTTATCGAGTTATTGATGTTTGAAAATAGTAATATTTGACTTGATTTTAACAACATGGGCGGTTTCAGCCCCCTGACCTAAAAAGAATCTTGGGGGTTTCAGGGGGGCATGCCCCCTGCATTTCACAATGGTTTTATGTTTTGACAATAGGATTGATATAATATATATATCTATACTTTAAAACAATTGATTTGCAAGGGTTTTAGTGGCCATATATGTGTTCTACAGGAAAACATTGGTAGTTTAGCCCTCAAATCAATGCATCTGCATAATATGTGTGTGGATGCATATAAGTAAAAATTTACTGAAATACTTAAGTTAAATGTACCTGTATTGCAAACTAAAAATATCTACCATTCAGTAGGCCTTTTTTTTTTTTTTTTGTCGGTCTAGCTATCATCTTGTTCTTGTTCTTGTTTCAGGAAGCAACATCCCTGCACTCCGGACATGTCCATTGATGCTCCGTTGCTCTCTCCAAAATGTT